ATGCAAAAAAAAAAAAAAAAAAAAAAAAAAAGTAAGGAAATTCTGGGACTTCCCTGGTGGTCCAGGGGTTGACTCCATCGGCACTCCCAATGCCGGGGGCCAGGGTTTGATCCCTGGTCAGGGAACTAGATCCCGCATGCCACAACTAAAGATCCCACATGCCGCAGCGAAGATCCAGCACAGTCAAATAAATAAATATTTTTTAAAAACAAGGAAGGAAATTCTGACACATGCTACAACATGTGTGAACCTTAAAGACATTATACTAAGTGAAATAAGTCAGACAGAAAAGGATAAATACTGTATGATTTCACTTATATGAGGTACCTAGAAGAGTCAAATTCATAGAAACAGAGAGTAAAATTGTGGGTGCCAGGCGCTATGTGAGTGGGGATGGGGAATCAGTGTTTAAAGGGAACAGAGTTTCAATTGGGGAAGATGAAAAAGTTCCATGGATGGTGGTGACGGTAGCACAGCAGTGTGAATGCACTTAATGCTACAGAACCGAACACTTAAAATGGTTAAATGGTAAAATGGTTAAAATGGTAATTTTATGTATGTATATGTTATGTATATTTTACCATGAAAGAATTTAATTCAGTAATGTAAAGGTAATAGGTAATAGTGACTTCATAGTGGAGAAACCTGGCTGACACTACCCTTAAAAGAGATCAAGGTCAACGTCACCAGTGTAGGACAAACCACCCCCTGATATGATCCACTGAGGAGAGCACAACATGACTTCTGTGATATTCCTGCCAAAAATGCAAAACCTGAGTCTGATCAGGACATCTGACAAACTCAAAGACATTGGACAAAATAACTGACATCTGAAAGAGAAAAACAAATACTGTATGCCAACACATATATATGGAATAAAAAAAAAAAGTTTCTGATGAACCTAGGGGCAGGGCAGGAATAAAGACGCAGATGTAGAGAATGGACTTGAGGACACGGGGAGGGGGAAGGGTAAGCTGGGACGAAGTGAGAGAGTAGCATTGACATATATACACTACCAAACGTAAAATAGATAGCTAGTGGGAAACAGCTGCATAGCACAGGGAGGTCAGCTCAGTGCTTTGTGACCACCTAGAGGTGTGGGATAGGGAGGGTGGGAGGGGGACGCAAGAGAGAGGAGATATGGGGATATATGTATACGTATAGCTGATTCACTTTGTTATAAAGCAGAAACCAACACAACATTGTAAAGCAATTATACTCCAATAAAATTGTTAAAAAAAAATCACAGATGAGTGAAAGAGCTTAACAACCGAGTGAATGGCTTCCATGTTTCCTTGAGAAGCCATGAGTGTAATCCGTTAGATATTCTCCAGAATAATGAATTGGCATGGTCAGCTCTCTGAGTTAACGCCTCTAAAACCTGTCAAATAAATGTGTGCTTGTCTTTAAAAAAAAAAACAAAAAAACTGACATCTGACAAACTCAAAGACTTTAGACAAAATAACTATTGACCTATACTTACTCACAAAACACTTGTGTCACGAAAGACCAAGAGAGACAGAGGAGCAGTCCCAAATTAAAGGAGACTAAAGAATGCATCCCATGGGGCTTCCCTGGTGGCACAGTTGTTGAGAGTCTGCCTGCCAATGCAGGGGACATGGGTTCGTGCCCCGGTCCGGCAGGATCACACGTGCCGCGGAGCAGCTGGGCACGTGAGCCATAGCCGCTGAGCCTGCGCGTGCGGAGCCTGTGCTCTGCAACGGAAGAGGCCACAACAGTGAGAGGCCCACGTACCACACACACACACACACACACACACACACACACACACACACACACACACACAAAATGCATCCCATGAGCTGGGATTTTCTTTTGCTGACCCGATTGAGACAATTGGTGAAATCTGAATAAGTTTTGTAAATTAGCTCATAGTATTTTATAGGTGATGATGTCATGATTTTGTTCATTGTATTGTGGTTATGGAAGAGGATATCCTTGTTTTGGGGGAAATATACCCTGAAGGGCATAAAGGAGCATTGTTATGTCTGCATAAAAAAGAAAATAGTATGGATATGTTTATTTAGAGAGAGAAGGATAAAGCACCGTAAAATAACTGTTTAACTGTTAGGTAAAATACTAACAGTTGTGGAAACCGGATGAGGAGTATACAGAAATTATTTGTACTATTCTTGCAATTGTAAGTCTGAAATTGTATCAAAATACTTTGTTTTCAATGGCCATCGATAAGGGGCATGGAAGGTGTAAACACGATCTAGGTGGCAAGAAAAGCCTTCAGTTCCACCAGGCTGTGCAGACCAGGATTTTGAAATTCTGTAGTTTATCTCAAGCCCCCACTTCCTTAATCATTCTGCCACTCTTCCCCAACCTCACTCCCCTCACACTCCCTCAATTAAAATTCGCCAGTTCTGGAACACTAAAGATAAATTCTGCTCAGAAACTGGGCTCTGATGTTGCTCTCCATGAGTGTTTAAATTTAAATACCATTAAAATGAATTAGTAGTCTCATAAGAAAGAAAGGTGTTTTATTGCCTTGGGTTTATAGAGTTGCTTTCATTTTCTGACATATACCTCACTTTTCTAGTGTGGCCATTTACAATGTTTCCTAAGGAGAAAGGGTAGAGATAGCAGGAAACTTCTAGGTGTGGAATTTTAAACAAGTCACTGAGCCTCACTGAGCCTCAGTTTTCCCATCTGTAAAATAGGTCTAGTAATAATAACTTTTCTTATAAAATAGCTGTGGGGTTTATAACACCTTGCAGTCAAAGCTTTTGAAATATTGTTCGGCATATAATAATCACTCAGAAGATCATAGCTGTTAGGAGGATGTGCTGAGAGTTTCTGATGGGGCTGTGACATCTGCTCCCATCCCCCACTTGAAGATTCTTTGCACAGAATCAAGAAAGAATTAGCAAGAGATCTATTCAAATTATCTCTAATGACATGACCCTGTTGCCAAGAGCTTGTCAGTAAACTGTGTCCTATAATTCACTATTTTTTTTTTTTGGCGGTACGCGGGCCTTTCACTGTTGTGGCCTCTTCCGTTGCAGAGCACAGACTCCAGACACATAGGCTCAGCAGCCATGGCTCAGCAGCCACTCTGTGGCATGTGGGATCTTCCCGGACCGGGGCTCGAACCTGTGTCCCCTGCATCAGCAGGCAGACTCTCAACTTCTGCACCACCAGGGAAGCCCTATAATTCACTATTTTTAATGGCCTTTTCTTATCTCCTTTGTAGTGCAGGGGGGTTGTTTTTATTTCTTTAAGGTTTCTGTAGAAAATATTTTTTAACTTTTCAAAAGTAAAGTATCCGTGTCTGTTGGCTTGTTTTGGTTGTGGCTTCAGTTCATTCATTCTTTCTAGGGGAAGAGTAGAGAAGGCTAACTCCATTATCATGTTTTTACTCACCTGAAGGCTTAGAGAATGTGATTCCTGCTGTATATTTTTCCCCCGGGGTGGTGGGGTGGGAACTGTACCAGTCTATTTCTGCCCACAGCCACTGTATCTATAAACACGAAGTTTTGCATACAATTTCAGGGGGTTCACAGCCCCCAATAAAGCCCAAGCATGAACCTCTGGTTAGAATCATGCTCTAAGGCAAACACCATGGGAGGACGGCTGGCAGCTAACTTGTAACCATCAGGTCTCCAATGCCTTGGGCACAATAGATGTTCCCTCTGAAAGCAGCGAGTTAACCCAATATGTTAAATTTGCTTCTTAGATCCTCTCTTCAAATTATTTCATCTCTTTGTGTACTCAGATACCACCTCTCCTTCCTGCTCAGCCTTCCTCCTGCCACCCACCCCGACACACACACATACAGACAATTCGATTTTCCTTTGTCTCATTCTCTG